TATCATCGCACTTCAAAAATGAAAAACCAATAGGAGAAAGAATTTCAGTAATATTGTCAAAGTTATTAATCAAATCATTCAATAAAAACTGTTCATAACAATATCGTTGAAATATACTTTTAGTTTCTGATTTTCTTAATGAATTACTAAAATTTAAAAAGTTGTTTGAACCTTCTGCAGTCAAATTTTTGCAATCAAAAAAAGTTGGAATAGGCTTTTAATCAACCTAAAACCTTGATTCATGTTACCTTTTATATATATATATATATATATATATATATATATATATATATATATATATATATATATATATATATATATATATATATATATATATATATATATATATATATATATATATATATATATATATATATATATATATATATATATATATATATAATAAAAACATTTATAATTTAGTTAAAAGTTAATTTATAAAAAGCTGGAACTTGAAGTTTGAAAAAATTTAATGCATTAGTTTTAATAAAATTTTTTTGAATAATGTTTGTTATTTGCTTTTTTGATAAATTCTTATTTATTATAGAAATATAACTTAATGTTTTTGAGCAATAAATGCAAAGCGGTCTTCTTAAAAAACAAAGTTTATTGGTTAGATGCACTGGTTATTTGTGTAGTTAAATAATAGATTTGAGTCAGTAAACTTCTGGTTTACTTGGCTTTTATAGTATAAACAAGATTTTTAATTCTATAGTTTTTTATTTCTTGATTCAGAAAAACCACTCAAATTCAAAACACTGGCTCAACTTTGCCACTATCAACACTTCACATGTTTAGGAGTTGCTAGGTTATTGTTCCATTTTCTTAACTACTCGAGTATTGAGTAGTTAAGAAAGATAAAAATATATACTTTTTGCTTTTTACTTGGTTTTTTTGGTGGGTTAGAAACAATTAGGAATGTCCTTTATTTTCTATAATTATGAATAACCTATATAACTAAATGGAGGCTAGTTAGCACTTTTGCATTGTAAAACTGACAAATACACTGCTAGAAACTAAATCTCCAGTCAAGACTTAAGCACAAATTTAATATTCATAGCGAATTTCTGCTATCATTTATTATCAGCTTTATCATTACTATTTGCAAAGTTATGATTTTATTTTAAAAAACATTTATTTAAGCTTTGAACCAAACCAGCCGTTTTATAAAGTAGCCGTGAGCTCTTTTAGTAACGCAGTCTTTATCTCTTCAATCACTGAAAATTTACAGTTTTAGATAATTCATCTGAATTTTTGCACAGTTTGGTAAGTCAGATGATATAACTTTGTTTTTCTTGCTATAATACTATTTTATATATTTGAACTATTATATTTCAGTTTCTGTTGTTGATCCTAGAAATAGAACAATAAATGTAGAGCAAATTTAGGGGTTTTATAAGTATGGCTTGGTTGTTTGAAAGTACTAAACATAGTCAAGGTTTCAGCGTTAACAGTTGCTAATGAAATACTTATTTTAATTTATGCTTTTATGAAATTTTTTAATTTCTTTATTTCAAAATAAAAAAGTCTTTTAGTACTCTTTTCGTAAAAAAAGTGTAATTCAAACTTTTTTTGGCACGACTATTTAAACGAATTTTTTTTGTTCAATGTTGATGTAAAAACTTTTTTGTCGTTTGATTTTTTTGCATAAACTTTATGCAAAAAGTTCAGATAATTCATTGTCTAAGTTTGCTGACAAACTGACATGCCCAGAACATCTTAAAAACTGCATAGCATGAGCCAATTGATATACCATTAGTTCTCAGCAAACTCTTAAATAGTTGTTTGACAACTTTTTGAAAAAATTTTTATCTTCTTTTAACAGGCTGGAGTATCCAGTAAAACTTTTCATTGGCATTTCCATAGCCATACTGAAAGGCCTCGAACCAAATATAAATTAAGTCAAAACAAACATACTTTACGCCACTGTCAACATTTCACATGTTTAGGAGTTGTTATTGTTGGAGAGGTTATTGTTTCATTTTTACATAGCGGAAAATTGCCAAACACACCAAAATACAATTTAGATTTGTATTTATCAATAACATATGAAGTATGTTGTATAGCTGATATTTTAAATCTTTGGGGAATATATGCAGCGAAACAAAACAAGAAAATCTAAATTGATTTTATTCTGAATATTTTTATGTACATACTACATAAATAACGTTATTATTTATTCAACACAAATATTTTTTAAGAAATATTTTAATATATAATTACATTACATACACATATACAATTACATATAATATATAATTACAAATTTTGTTTCTGTTTAAAAGATCAATTAAATCACTTTGCTACTAATAAATTAATGAACAAATAAAAAAGTAGCAATACACATTTTTTTTTTTTTTAAATTTTACAAAAAAAAAATGATCAATTACTGCTTAGATGAAAAGAAAAAGTATTAATAAATGTTGTTTATTCACTATTTTATTTTTTTTAAATAAAACTTATCTCATTTTTTTCAGGAATGTTCTTAACATTTCTCTTGAGTTGAGCGGAAGTGGTTATAATGTTACAATAGAGTATTTTTTCCCACCTTTTCTTACTTTTACCTCTGACAATGTTCCACCTGGATTTTTAAAAATAAACTCGGATCAGACTAAGTATTCTGTAAGCATTCTTATGTTAATTAAATTCTGTTAATTTTATAAGTTTTTGTATTTTTTGCTTTTTTGTTATAAAATATAAAGTAAAAAGTATCTAGATGTAAAAGAATCAGTTTTTACAAGTACAATATATTAAATTAAATGTGTTTTTGTATAAACGTAAAAATTTATTAATAATGATTTATTTTTCAGGGTTTAGTTATAGTATAAATTTATTTACCTGTCATATCTTTTATATTCAACTATTGCTTAGTTTTCTGGATATTTTGACTCAAATGTTGTTGTTAAAAGCAACATTACATTACTTCTAAAGAAAATAAAATGTCTAAGAGGTTTACCAATTGAAATCTCAGTGAAATTAAGTTATCAAAATGAAATGAACAAAATCAAAGCTAAAGCAATGGCATATCAAAAAATTTTGCCTTGTCTGGAAAACTTTTCAAAAATATCAAAGGACAAGAACGCTTTAAAAGGTAGGTTTTGATTTTTTTATTGATTAATAAAGTCATAATAATGATGGTGTTCATTGTCATCATTATAAGATAACCATATTGGTTGTGATAAATAATCTCAATAAATCTTGTAGAAAACAAATTATTAAACATATGTCAGTATTGTGGCCGTGACATCGATTAAAAGTTTCAAGTTTTCAAAAATGCTTGTGCTTTGAGGCAAATTTATCTTCTTGAAGTTTTACAAATAAAATAGTATGTTTACCCTTAAGGATATATTTCATTGAAACCCATACGGAACAATAATGAAGTTCTTTAGAGAACCTTCTTTAAACTTTGGTTTTTAATTAATGTGTCATGTTGCACATCATGTGTTATAGTTACCTCATAAGAAACAAAATAGTCGAATGCAAAAAAAACATAAAAAAGTAAACTACATTAAATTTAATAGAAAAGAAGTTTTTTTTCCTTTACAATGGAATTTTTCAAAAATTATAGTTTAAAAATTAAAAAAAAAAAAATTATAAAACCATAGTCAAAAAATACATAATTTGGTCAGTTTAAAAGCGTTATTGTTCATCTTATTGTTAGCGTCTTTTTAGAACCCAGCATACCAATGAGCGGACACTTTTTGTAAACAAAGACGCGTCAAGAAGTATATTTAAAAGAAGGTTAATGATTTATCCTCAATTTTTGCAAATATTTGGCTCTGGGATTTCTTGAGGATGTATAAACATTTTTCTTTTTGAGATATCTCTTCTTCCGCTGAAGTATTTGATAAAGAATTAAGAAAAAAAAATTTACAAACTACAACTAAAGATATATATTTAGTTATATATTATAACTAAAGATGTAACATAATAATATAATGAAGATATAATATAATAATGTAATAAAGTAATTTTACCTAAAAATATGTAAAAATAATATCATATAGTAATTGATACCTATAGTTTTAAATCAAAAAAAAGTTATTGTTTGTTTCCATATACCACACATAATACATAATGATAACTTTCAATCCAAATAAAACTTTTTTGTTTAGATGTACAAGTTAACTACTTTAAATAAATCTTCCAGTGAAGAAATTTTCATTGCCAAATCCTACTTTATGCAGGATAAAATAGTGTCTCATATTCCTAAAGCTAAACTCAAAGAAATCAACTTTATCTTTTAAAGTAGATTAAAATTAGTATATAAATATTTGCATTTAAAAAAGTTATTGTTTAATACAAATTTTTCTAACCTTATTTCATTTAAAAAAATATCAAACATCAAAAATTTAACTAAGGCTTATATATATTTATTTTGCAAGCATATAGAAGGATCAATGTCATTGTCAGTTTAGTTATATATATAGCTAAATCCCTTTTGAAAAATGGTTTCAGCTGAATAACTATGATAAGATTCATTAGACTTTTACTCTGGCCAACTGCGAGCTATAAGAAGAAAAAAAGGTAATCGTTTGTAAATGATATTGGGTATAACGACATTGATGCAATAAGGAGCCAATATACTATCAAATAAATTATAAAAACTAATAATCTTTATAAAAAAATCTTGAACAATAATCCAAAGTCTTGAAAAGTTAAACATTTGTCGTTAGTATTTTTCAGTTTTAAATTCTATCTTAAATAAGGAAAATTATTTACTTTGCCGTTATATCATACACTCTGCATAATAAATAGGACATGAAGGGAAACTTGAGGTTAGTGGTAAATTGGGTATCAAAAGCGGCATTTTCAATCTTTAAAAATTTTCAGGGAGGCTAAAAAGTGACCTATTAGCTTAAAGATGTGTGAAGGAGAAGTTATAATATTTAAAATTTTATAAATATAATCTGTTACCTATTTAACTACTTAAGTAGTTAAACCAGTTGTTTTAATCATTATATTGTATGATATTATTGTTTAAAGTAAAAACTTATACCACTTTATTTGGTTTTCACCTTATTATTGCATTTTTCAATCACACTGCAATACAGTTCAAATCTAAAATATTTATTTTTTTACTTTTTTGGCTTTCAAAATAATCTTTATTAAATTTGTAGTATTTATTTTGTGGATTTTTAAGACCCTTTTTTGAGTTCTGTACTGAAGAAATTTGTTTTTTTCAATATAGACTTGATTTTATGCAAACTTTTAAGCTCTTTTGAATAGGATAATGAGCAAACACAATAATAAAGTGGTAAAATGTCGTCGAGAAGATTGAGATACTTCTTCAAATATCTTGATAAAATTAAAATAGCAATTTTCTGATAAGTAAGATAAACCATAACATCTTGAAGCATCAATTAGCGGCTAATTTTTCCGTGAATTTTTTGCTTGACTTTCTGACTTTGGTTGACTTGGCAATTCTGCAATTCTTAGTTGTAAAAAAACATCAGATAATACAAATCAAAGATCACCTTGATTTTTTGAATGATTATAATTGTTATTAGTACAAAAAATTCACTTTTTAAAGAAAATTTGATTTATTCTACAATTTTCCCAGCTAATAAAAATAAGAGTGTCCTTCAATTCAGTCAACTTTGCCAACTTTTTAAATTACGTGTTCTTTATAAGTACTAAATACGTATCCACCAAAATATTCAACTAAATTTTTTTTTTATTTTTCTGTTATTTAAATATGATTAGCAAGGTTATATCCAACAAGAGTTGAGGATCTGTAAGAAAAATCTTTTCTGACTTGCAATTTTATAAAACTTTAAAAAATTGTATAAAAAAATTTCAACATAAGTATAATTATTACCTCTTTCTATTAACTTGAATGATAGCTTTGTATTATATTGTAAAAATTTTTGTACTTTGAAAGCTCATCTCTGATATATAAAATGCAGCACAATATTAAAGTTTTTTTTTTTTTAACAAAATTTAAAAACTTATCTGTAGAACACGTTTCCCAGTAAGCACAAATTGGTTCAGAATTGGTCAACATTTACTTAAAATTGGTTGAAAAATGGATAAAACGTTTAGCGAACTATTATTGACTAAAAATCGACGCTTGATTTGAAATGCATACTTCTAACTCTTTTATATATTTGTTTACTAAACGCCGATCTAAAGTTTTGAATATTGACTTAACTTAGTCAATATAGTAATCCTTTAATCGACCTTAATTAAACGTAAACATTTATAGTTTTAAAATCTACGCTTTAAATCTTTTAATATATACGTTTATTGAATGTCAATCAAACGTTTACAATATTGACTAGTTCAAATCGTTATTCTAACCGTTTTAACGCTGTTATTCTAACCGATTAACCCTGACGTTTTATCAACGTTTAATGAACGTTTATAACGTAATAATATAGTAATATAGCAATTGATCAGAATACTTACATAGCAGCTTAAGTCACGTGGTTTAAATAGGCATAGTTAAAACGAAATGAAAAACTAATTAAAAAATTATTTTTTATTGGCTAAGTAATAAAATAGGACTTAAATGAGATTTCAAGATTCACTTCCTTACAACAACTGAAAACAAATCAACTAATAAATAAATAATAAACGAGTGTAGGATGCGCCATTTTAGTTTAGGGAAGTTAAAAAGCACTTATCGCGACAATTACCTTCCTAAATGCCAAAAATGATGTTTTAGAAATTATTGATGTCAACATTGACACAGTTAAAATATAGAAGTTGTATGTCTCTCGTTATGAAAGTCTTGCTGCAAGAACTTTTTTCGTAAGCTTTATTAACAGTTTAAACTCATTTTGTAAACGCTACTAAGATTGCGTAACAGTAGGTATTCATCTTTGCACTAATCAAGAGGTTTAATAACTATATATATATATATTTTTTATTATTTTAGGAGCATTTTAGTCTAATTTAGTTACATTTATTAAAAAAAATTAGTGAAAGAAAGTTGGTAAAAACCACTGCATATGTTATATTACAACGTTTCTAAGTTTTTTATGTCAAAAGTAAACATGGGTGGTACTGGAAATTTTGGAAACTTCCATTAAGAAAATCCTCTATATCTAAAGTTCTGCGTAATTCCAATTTTGATTTATGAATGTACATAATATATGAATTGATTTTGATTTCCAATTTTGATTTGAAATCCAATTTTGATGTATAAATGTACATATAAAATGTAGACGGTATTCAAGGAAGATTTTTGATAATGCATAAACCAGAAAAAACAGTGATCCAAAATATTTGTTTATAAGTTTATTAATTTTATTATTTGTCTTTAACTTAATCTTAATGTAAACTTTTACTTTTAGCTATGAGATTAAATTTAAAAAATATTTGATAGAAATTGTTACCATAATTTTTCCACTGCAAAAAGCTTGACCATTTAAATTTTGTAAATAATCGAAACATAAACAAGTATAGTGCACAAATACTTTTTCTCTAAATGGCTATAATCCACTATATGAAAACGTTTTATATAAGTTTATAACTTTATATATAGTTTTAAAAAATAAAATTTTTAGTTTTAAAAAATAAAAGTATAGTATATTAGTATAGTACAAAAGTTTAGAAACATATTATAAGAGTTATAAAAAATATAAAAAATAAGACCAGGGTTCGGATTCAATCAACTTTCGTAACTCTTGCGTAACTTACGGAAATCGTACGTAAATTTATTTTTCCGTAACTATTTAGTATTCACAAACATTTCGCAGCGTTTGCGTAAAGTTAAGTATGCGCAAAAGCTACGCTTTACATACGCAAAAAATCTTTAGGTTTTTTGCGTAAGTTTAAGTTAAATTATAAAAAAATGAGATATCATTCGTTTACATTTTAACTAAAATAAACAAGGTAGTGTAAATGTATCAATATAGCAACTATTATATATACTCAACTACTTTTGCAACTATTATAGCAATTTTTTTATATTCTGTTATAGCAACTTTTTTTTAAGTTTAAATCAAATAAAATTGATTATTTAGTGAAAATAAATTTAAACATTAAAAAAGATAATGAAATTGAGTTTAATCAATATTTTAAGGAATTATAGATACATATAAAATACGCTTTATTTGAGACTCAGATTGACAAAATTATGTTTTTTTTACAATATTTCGAACTTTTACCCCTTAGAAATGGAATAATAAATTGTATTGTTAGTTCAGCAACAAAATATTTTTGTTGTTGTTGGTCTGTGCAACTATGAAAAGCACTACTTTAAAGGAGTTTTTATTTAGAAATTAATTTAAATGTTAGTTACGGCTTTCAATGATTTCTAACCAAGTTGAATGAAAGCTGCTATTAGAGTATTAATTTCTACCTGTAATAAATATTTATTAACTGCAATATTCCCAGTGGGCACAAGAACGTTTGGCGAACGTTTTTCAATGGTTTTTTGAACGTCAATATGAAATCGTGAGCGGGCGTTTTCTTAAAAACGTTTTAAGAACGTTTTTTCATTGACCTATAAAAACGTTTTTATTGGTTTTTTGGAAGTCCATATGAAACGGTGAACGGACGTTTTTCTGAAAACGTTATTTTTTAGTTTTTATTACGTCTAAATGAAACGTTTTGTCGTTTCTAACCTTTTTCTAACAACGTTAGAAATATATTTTTGAAGTATAAGTTATTTAAGTAAATAACTTATGTTGTACAGAAAAAAAACCTTTTCACAAATGAAAGTCTAGGTCTAACATAAGTCTAGATCCGAATAAATAACTAAAAGTTTTAACATTTTGTGTTTATTTACAATTTAAGCATACAAATTTATAATAGCTTTTTTGCTATTTTGTTAAGCTATTTATTCTATTATTCTCTTCAAACAATCGCCTTTCAACTTATCGACCAAATCAAACTTTGCTGTATGTGATACTAATGTTCCTAAAAAAGAAAAATATCACAGAAATCTTTCATGCATTTTGCTACATGTAAAAAAAAATGCATCAAAATGTAAATTATAATAATATGAAATGAGTAATGGAAAATATCACACAGTATATTAAAGGACCAATATAAAAATTTAAAAAGTACCTACAACTACTCAACTCAATAAAGTTTTTTTTAAATGATCTATTTGCATAAGTTTCAGCTTTCTTAAACAATGGTAGAACACATTTTGACATAATTTTATCCAAAATATTATTAGCAGAGCTGAAAAAGACCCTAAAAAATCATAAAATATATTTAGAAAATATATATTGATCATATTTTACTTTATTTAGGAAAGCTTCATACATAAATGTAAACAAGAATATTACAACAAATAAAACTTTGCTTTATTACTTAAAATTATTTCACTTTTATTAAACCTTGTTATATCATTTATTTTATCATAGTAAAGTAACGAATCTTCAAACTCAGTCTTTTCCCCCAGGATATTCACAACGTATGAAGACTTTTTAAGACTTTAGGCATCGTAGCTCCATATATATTGCAGATTGAAAACCTATTAGAAAAAAGAAGTTCGAACTAAGTAAAATATTAATAAAAAACTGTTGTATAAAACTGAAAAAAATAAAGCTAAATACAATAAACATTTTTTAAAAAAGGAAAAGATAACATTTAATAACATACTTGTTCCACTAACAGACGTAAAACTTGATGGTAGTTTATCATAACAATAAAGTGCAGCAATGCATCGCTGAAATTCTTTTTAACTTGTTAAATAAATGTTTTATTTATTATTTATAATGTAATATTATGTATAATGTAAGTTAGCAACTTGTTTAAAATACATAGGCAATTTTAAATATTTCGAAAAAACATTTATCTGGTTTTATTTAGCATAAAATGTTGAATAAAAACAGATGAACTTACATTTCGCAAATTTTTGCACTTAAATATCAGGACTAGATTTTCTAATGTGCAAACAATTGTGATATGGTTTACGTTCTAAAATTTATATAAAAATAAAATCAACTTTCATAACTTGTGCGTAACTTACGGAAATCGCACGCAAATTTATTTTTTCGTAACTATTTGGTATTCGCAAACATTTCGCAGCGTTTGC